TTAATACTGTCGATTGTTTATGCATGTTTATATTATTTTCTTCAATTGATATGCGATTTTACTGATTCAACATCACCTACCGTCTGTTCTTTCCCTATAAACCTCTTGCAGATAGCCATTAAGAACCTACTAGTTGACAGGCTCTACCAAAAATTTCATAGATATTGCTCCTTTCCAAACATTCATTCATTTACTTGCCGTTCATCGGTACCATTATGGCACCGTTGATTGATATTCCCACAAAACCATTCAGGATTTTTGATATCCATACATCCATAGACAAATATTTTTTGATTGTTTAGGAACTGTACAAACATCCACACTATATTTACAGCGATTAAGAAAAATATATGACGTAAAGCTACCGGCAAACTTAAAACCTGCAAAAAAATAGAATTTGCAATAACTTTTTTGTTTCACTAAGTACACATTCTAGGTTATATTTATATTAGACATTACCTGAATAACAGCTGATTGTTACATTCCAAAACTCCCAACGAGTGACACATGTGTGGGATCCGTCAGCCCTTGGTCCCAGTGGAGTAAGCTCCGCCAACTGTTGAAATATACTCTACTATGCTTTATAAAACTATACGTGGAATTTTTCCCAAAATCGTTGCACAACACTTGAAAAAATGCAAATGAAAATTTAAAATTATTTCCATGACGCCGCAAAATAGCTCCGTTGGTACCTCGGGTTATACATCTTGACAGTAGGGATGTTCGATACGATTCTATATTTAGAAGTGTCGATACTTTTGCTTCCCATACCCGTTATTTTGGATCGATATTTTTATACAGGGTGTTTCAGTTTATTGTTGCATAACTTTAATATTCAATAGAACTTTTAAAATTAATGCATAAAGTCCATATAAACATGGGTCGAAAAATGCGTGGCTTTCGAAATACAGGGTGTTTAAATTTACTTTCTAAAATAGTTTTTTTTTTTTAATATTTCGTACAATATTTGATATATAATAGTGAAAATTGGTATACAAGGGTTCTTTGGTACGACAAAACGAGCCATGGGCATAGTTTTACTGTAGCCGCTAGAGGGCGCTCTCTACTGTACCTGTAGTGTATTGAAACGACAGAAAAAATTTTCTTAGTGTAATTTTTTGCTTTTCGAATAAAAAACCTGATTCTTCGCACTTTTCAACATAAAAAAGCTCTCTTGTGAATGTTCGTGATAGTTAGCCGTTTTTGAGATATTTCGATTTTTAAGGTTCGATGCATTTTTAATTACTTATGATAAAATAACGTTAAAAAGACAGTATCTCGATAATTTTTAGAAGTAGGCTGTGCCTGCAAATATTTTTGAAATTGAAACCAGAATAAGGTTAAACGTCAATTAGTTGACAGTTAGTTTTGTTGTCTGTTGAAACCTGAAACGTTTTTTTGCAATTGTGAATGCACGAAATTTAGCTTCCTTTACCTGTTTTTTTTTTTGTAAGTTTTATAAAATGCCATTTTTATTCTCCAATCAAGAGTTAGCGGATATTCATTTTGTGTATGGCTTTGTAAATGGAAACGCAGCAGAAGCAGCCAGAGAATACGCACGAAGATTTCCAAACAGACGACATCCAACTCGCTCAGTATTTGTAAGAGTGCATCGCCAAATAATTGAAAATGGTTTTGGAAATCTCCAAAGGGATCAAAACATAAATGTTCATCAGCGCAGCTTTACCCTTATGATTCTGCATGAGTTTGATAGAGATCCGACCACAAGCGTTAGGAGAGTTTCTGGTACCTTGTGAATTTCAGCAAGCCATGTTCACCGTGTTCTTAGAACTGACCATAGACGTCCTTACCATTTGCAACCTGTGCAAGGACTACAGCCAGGGGATGGAGAACGAAGAATCACATTTTGTCTTGCTAGAAACTGATAATAATAGGGAGTTTTTAAGTAACGTTTTATGGACCGATGAGTCATGCTTCACTAGACGTGGAGTGGTAAATTTTCATAATCAACATATCTGGTCGCATGAAAATCCGCATGCAGTTCGGGAAAGAAATTTTCAGCATGAATTTAGTGTGAACGTGTGGATTGGTATCTACCCTAATAGACTATTTGGACCCTACCTTTTGCCTGCAAGGTTAAATGCTGCGACCTTTTTGGAATTTTTAAAGGCTGAACATGCAAATATGTGGGATGACGTTATGTTAGACTTAAGAAGATTGGCCTGGTTCCAGCTAGATGGTTATCCAGCTCATTATTCGAGAATAGTTAGAAACCGGCTGGACGAAAATTATCCAGAAAGATGATTCGGCCAGGCGACTGGTCCTCCACGATGCCCTGACCTAAATCCATTAGTTTTCTTTGTGTGGGGATTTCTAAAAGAAAAAGTGCACCAGACTCCCGTAACCACAAGAGATATACTAATAGACAGAATCAGGAATGCATGTGATGAAATAAGGCCTTATTTGAATAATGCTATACCACGTTCGATCATTCGTAGATGTGAATTGTGTATTGAACAATTGGGTTTACATTTCGAGCAACTACTTTAGATTTGGTATGTTTGTCCTAACTATCCAATAGCATTTTAGTTGTAAATAATTAATTTAATTTGTTAAAAATAATATTGGAAAATTAAACAAATTAATATTCTGTTTTTTTTGTGTTTATTTGGAGTTAGGAATTATTGCTGTGTTTAAAAACACAATCTAAACGATCATCTTAATTACTTGTAATGACCAAATCGAAAATGTAAAAAAATATCTTTTCCTCATAAATAACTAAAAATACATCGAACCTTAAAAATCGAAATATCTCAAAAACGGCTAACTATAACGAAAACTCACAGGAGAGCTTTTTCATGCAGAAAAGAGCGAAGAACCAGTTTTTTGTATTCAAAAAGCAAAAAATTGCACTAAGAAAATATTTTCGGTCATTTTATTACACTACAGGTACAGTAGAGAGCGTCCTCTAGCGGCTACAGTAAAACTATGGCCATGGTTCGTTTTGTCGTACCAAAAAACCCTTGTATACCAATCTTCACTGTTATACATATTGTTCGAAATATTGAAAAAAAACTATTTTAGAAAGTAAATTTAAACACCCTGTATTTCGGAAGCCACGCATTTTTCGACCCATGTTTATATAGACTTCATGCATTAATTTTAAAGGTTCTATCGAATCTTAAAGTCATGCAACAATAAACTGAAACATCCTGTATACGACACTTGGGTGTATCGATACATTTCACGAGTATCGTCATCTTTTGATCCGAACTGTGTCAGAAAGAGTGACTAACTTCATATTACTTTTCTTCTTTGTTTCCTTCTGCTGGATATCGATAATTTTATTCCAATATTTTAGGGTATCGATACTTCCTAAAACGATAAGAATCGATACATAACAATACTTTTCGTGGACCTAAACATCCCTAATCTTGACAGCTTGTCGCTCTTGTCAACTGGGCTGCAGGGTGCGGTGCTGCCTTTACTATCTTGCATTTTGCTAAAATCTTATGACAAATAAAAGCCTCAAATGAAATATTGACGAATATGAACGGATATGCATAGAATTTAGAATATAAATTCATATTGCAAATTTCAGATTGTCTATGCATGGACTTGAACTGGGTTTTTCGGTATTTTTACCGAAAAGAGAATATTTACCGATAACATTATTCTCCACGATTATTCAAAATAATTTAAATATCTCTATACTTGCCGAAAAAGAGCTGAAACATAACATATGCATACACACACAGGCAGTCGGGCACATGAGACGCGTATATTTGGATTGCCTATGATTAGGAACCCACATCCTCATCCCTTACTCCGCTTGCCCTGAATATATTTTTGTGCATACAAAAGGTATAGACTGGTAGATTTCCGTCATTACCTCATCATCGGACAAGCAATAAAGAAACCGAAACCTGTCTGTCACCAAAATAAATTTTTAATTAAAATCAGAGGTGAGTTCAGTAGTAAAACAGAACCGGAAAAGGAGTTTCCAGAATGGTTGCAAAGTACTTTGAAAGAGCGACCAGTATGCACATTGTGGAAGTTGCAATATAGGACTATGCCCTCAAAAAACATGTTGTGTGCGCGTCCAGTACAATAACGGACGTTCTTCGTAACTCAAAGGTCTTTGATCTACCTCTGATCTTGGGACGGCATTTACCTTATATCGAAGTCAACGACACTATTTACCGATTCCGTTTTTTTGCCGGTTCGGCAACACTGCAGATGTGCAGATCACCTTAAAAGCAATTGATATCCTAGACGTGTTATGATAATAGAAATAATGAGAACATATAACAGTGTTTGGAGATATAGTATATTTTCATAAATAATGATTTTCGATTCTGACTTATAATATCTAGACGATGAATAATAAGTGGATGCGGATACTTTTACAAATATCGATGTGTTAGGACCCAGAAATGCAGAGTGTGCTGTTTGTTTCCATTTGATGTGGATTTATAGATCATAAATTGGCAAAAATTGTTTTTGGTGTAACAAAAGATGATGAACTAGTTGGAATACGTTTTATATCCTTTTTTTGCAAAATAACAAAAATCGATATATTTCTACAGGTACGTATTATGTACACCACCCTGTACGTGATGTACAGACAAAACTAAATTGCCATGCATGAACAGTCGTCAAAAGCAGTGAAAACTTCCTACCAAATATAATAGCTAGAAAATCGACCAATTACTTCTTTCATTTTCATTGGTCCATTTAAATAACTGACCGTCTTCTCTGAAATGACCAAAATTGAAATTCTATGAAAATTATCCTAAATCTAAAGCACAAAGAATAATATTACATCTATAATGTACCCTTATTTATAAGGCAACCATTTTTTCATCACTTTATTCAACATTTCAATAAAAATCACTGATATTCAGAGAGCCTTGACAGCTTCCGTCAAATTGCATTTCGATAAGCGTCCAAGGGACCGTTAAATATTAATAATTGTTGACATTGGCCCTAAGTGCTACGTAAGCTTGTCCAGCAGCAAATGGTCGAGCCTAGATAGATGACTGCACGTGAGGACTGAACTAAAGACCCCTGGTTTACAAGACCAGTGTTCTGCCACTGAGCTACAGAGGCTTGTAGTTTCAGTTTTCGTAAAACGGCATTTGAAATCCGTAGCTTTTATTAACATATCTGCTTTTTAAAAAAAATTACTTATGAATAAAGATACTGGAAAACTGTTATTAAATTATTCCATTGCCATCGGTCTTTGACACGTGTGCAAAGTTTCTGATTAATCAAACTTCTGGAAATTGGTGAAAATTATGCTCAAAGATTCCGCTACATACGTACATACAGGACAAGCTATTAGAATCGTATTAAAAAAAAAACCAATCAAGTTCGATTTCCGTTTGACAGTAGTTTCGACCACAATGGCCTCTTTCAAAGCACAATTTATATCAGTTACAAGTTGTACTTTGAAAAAGGCACCGTGGCGGCCTTAATGTTAGTCAGAAGAAAGAATACCAAACCTATGTATTTAGGCCCGTATCGTCAGTCGTACAATTGTAGGGCGCGCTTATGGCCTCCTTGATTGTCATAGTTTTCTACTTCTCCGTGTCAGAGCTCTATTTTGAGGTTATGTCACAAACATCTATTTGCATCAACTTGTGCTTGCTTTTGAATTATATCATGTTTTATCAGCCTGAAATTTCCTACAATTTAAAAGGAAAACATATCTTAACAATAGGAGACTGCTGACGCTGACACGGGACGAGTGTAATCTAGAAATTTTTGAAAGAGAGAAAAGAGGATGACAATCAAGGAGGCCATAAACGCACCCTACAATTGTAGGGACGACTGACGATACGGGCCTTAGCGGCCAGATAATCATGGAACCCTTTCAGCATGAAAACCACAGGATACACATCAGGTGTTGCAGTAACGATCTTATTTCAGTACTGTTCGTACCAAAAAATCATACAAACATCTTAAACCTGATTAAGTTGTCCAGGGTCATTCAGTTTGCTGATTATGAATCTGATAACAGCACTAGCATATTAACGCATTGACATCAGTATACTGAATCTAGTATCATGATTAATGAAACTGAAATGAAATTTGAGAAATGATATTCAAGCAATTGAAATCCCCATTAACCAATCATATTTTTTATTTTCGATGCACTATCTAAAAGAGGCGTCAAACATGTTTGGCTTGTTTGTACAGCCTGTTAGCTGACAGTCAGCAAACTGATAGTCGGTAACAAGTCATGACCTGGTTTATTCAGTTAGCTGTCACCGACACGTCGCTGACTGTACAGACTGCGTACATAAGAACGTTACGATTTGGCTGAGGGAGCTTGGACCGGTTACTGACAACTGATCCACTGTTCGTACAGAAATTTGATGAGTGTCAAATTAGTCAGCAGATTATTGTCCAGTAAATTGTCAGAGCTCGAAATCAAGAACAATCCTTTTTTGAATGTACCATCTTTAGAGAAAAAGTAACAGCATCAAAAAATGTCAAGTAGATTTACTCAGTAAATCCCATTGAATTCTCATTTAAAAAGTATCGACGAATTCGGAGGAATGTGCTTCCACACATCAAATGACAAGTTGAGGAAGCAAATAATAGGAATTCTGAATATACGTCTACGATGATTATGCATGAAAAATGTATTAGTCTAATTATCTTATCAAATTTACCGAAATAATTGTCAAGTCGAGGGACAATGCAGTTTTTGGCACTTGTTGGTAATGCGACGATAATTTCACTGTTTGACATTCTTCAAATCCGTAGGATTCATACTTTTAAATAACACTACTAGGTTATTGAGCAATATACAGGGTCCGCTCAAAGAGCATTCATTTGATAGCAAGTGTTTACCTTGCCGATATGAATCATGAACCATTACGAAAGATACATTTTATTTTTATGCGAAATGAGTTTTTTTCATCTAAGCAAATTCAATCATTTCGTATTTGTGAGTAATTGAACAAATACGCTACGATATTCGAAAAACGTACGTTACTATACACATTTTAAAACAAAAGCGAATGCGTCTATCACCTTTGTTGCCAATTATTCACAAATACGAAATGTTTCAATTCAAAAAAACGTGACCCATCCTTCCTTTTTTGCATAAAAATAAAATTTATCTTCCGGAATGATTTGCGATTCATATCGGCGAGGTAAACTCGTGTATTTTGGTATAAAATGGACTTTGAACTAACCCTGCGTATTGCTCAATAAACTAGAACTGATGGCCGGAAAACAATATGAAACCATCTTCGCATTACCAACAGGTGCCAAGACCTGCAGTTTGCCTCGATTTTTGAACATAACTTTTTTGCTATTAGTCGGATCTTTTAACGTGTGGTATATAATTTTGTAGGTCTCATAAATACCTACAAATCTTATATAAAGTTTTTTCGTTCCTGCATACTTTCCCACAAAAATTGGTGTACCCATTCTATGCGTCCATGTTTTAAATACCCCCTTGAACAGCTTGCAGCAATAAAACTAGACTTTACAATTATTTTGCAAACCAGGGGTATTTTCGTCCAATATAATTAGACTATATTGTAAATATGCTTTTATAGAAATAGAATAGTATTTTTGTTCCCTGTTCCCTAAGAGTTTACACCTAGCCTTGAAGTATATGTACAAACAGTATGTATATTTTAGCCAGTCCAACCCAAAGCTGATCGAAAAAATGGAATGACTAATTTTTAAGATTACAGCTATTTTCCGGCTGCCAGGCGATCAAACTTGAGCATTTTTGTACATTTTCTTAAATTATCTACCTATATAACAATGACTGATGTGAAAATAATATTTTCCCTACATGTGCAGACTCTTACTGTAAGTAAAAATACCACAAGGACTTAATAACGTCGAAGGGTGAATATAGACTAAAAAGCTAAAACGGATGTTTGATGTTTTTTTTGATGTTCTGATCACAAAGCTGTAAGTTTCACAGAATTCCCAACGTAGACAAGTAGAAATGAGAATACGAAAATACAAAAACTCATTAAGGTAAAATCATAAGTCAAGTCGCGCTTGTGCCCTTTAGACATACTACAAGCAGAAATACAAATAAATATAAATATCTGACATGGCAAACTTGATCATCAAGGCAACTCGAAACACAGGTAGGAACACCAACCTGTATACATTAATATATGATAACGGATCATCCTCTGGGTTATGTCGGTTCCATCAATGGTGCCAATGATTCCAGGAAATCTATTTTTTAATATATAAATTCCGTTTTGTCCTATATATTTCTTCTTCTGTTAGCCGTTTTATGCATTCTGGTGCCACACTACTTAAAAAGTTGGTCAATCTGGATATAACTAAATGCAGGGTACTCACGGAAACATTGAACCTATCAGCGATATCCCTGAAGATGGCTGTTTGATATCCAGCAAACCATGAAAATATACAAGTTTCTTTATACGGAGCTAGTTCTCCATATGGTCCTGTCTCATATTTAAAATGGTTACTACCACGGAATTTCACTGAAAATTTTCTGCGACTGTCTTGCTCACTTGAAAATGTTAGAAAAACCCGTTGCTGTTGAATTATGGCACTGTTTTCTCCACAAAATTCAGGTTTTTGGGTTTCATTCTCTCTTCCGAAAAAAGCTCCGACATTCCCGAGTATTCGCTGCATAGTATATCGCTCATAGTTTTTTCTACTCCGAAGCAGCCGCGCAGCAAAGCCTAAATGCCAGGGCAGCGCGGCTGCTCTAAGGAGCTTAAGGAAACTTTGTTAATCCGATTTTTAAACTAACTAAGGTTGGTAGAACTGGAAAAGGCCTCCTCATCCCCCTCACAATCTCGATAAACTAGCTACAAATGAGCCTTCGTACAGGCCAGTTCTGGATGTGCGAAGTTCGAACCTTTAGGATGGGAGGTCGAAGTCAGGTGGTAATCAATCAGTAAATGTCTTGCGAAGCAATATTATTCCTAAAGGTAGTTTCGACTCATTCTGATAGCTGTCACTGTCACTGATTGACTTGCGTTCTTCGAACTGTCAGAAGGTACTGTACGAACAGCGGACTAGCTGTCGGCCAAAAGTCAGAAACTGTACGAACAGGTAACATCTCCCTTATTCTGATTTTGACAGTCACCGACAAGTTACCGACTAGGTACTGTACGAACAAACCAGTATGGTTTGTTCGTACAGCCTGTTTGCTGACAATCAGCAAACTGATAGTCGGCGACACGTCATGACCTAGTTTGCGAATTTTCCTTTAGAGAGGAAAACATCTAGAAAAAATTACAGCGTCCAAAAATGTCAAGTAGACTTACTCAGTAATTACGATTCAATTCCCATATATAAAGTATAAACACAAATTCGAAGAACTATGATTCTACACATCGAAAGACAAGTAGACAAAAAGTATTGTGAATGACTTTTAATAAAATAGTAGGGTTTTGGCTCCCCGTTCCTTTGTCGCCCAGCCTCGAAGTGTATGCACAAACAGTATTATACAGGGTGTTTCAGTTTATTGTTGCATAACTTTAAGATTCGATAGAACTTTTAAAATTAATGCATAAAGTCTATATAAACTTGGGTCGAAAAATGCGTGGCTTCCGAAATACAGGGTGTTTAAATTTGCTTTTTAAAATAGTTTTTTTTAATATTTCGAACAATATTTGATGTATAACAGTGAAAATTGGTATACGAGGGTTTTTTGGTACGTCAAAATGAACCATGGGCATAGTTTTACTGTAGCCGCTAGAGGACGCTCTCTACTGTACCTGTAGTGTATTAAAATGACCGAAAAAATTTTCTTAGGGCAATTTTTTGCTTTTTGAATAAAAAAACTGATTCTTCGCAGTTTTTGCATAAAAAAGCTCTCCTGTGAGTTTTCGTTATAGTTAGCCGTTTTTGAGATATTTCGATTTATAAGGTCCGATGCGTTTTTAATTATTTATGGGAAAATAATATTTTTTTACATTTTCGATCTGGGCATTACAAGTAATTAAGATGATCGTTTAGATTGTGTTTTTAAACACAGCAATAATTCTTAACTCCAAATAAACACAAAAAACAGAATATTAATTTGTTTAATTTTCCAATATTATTTTTAACAAATTAAATTAATTATTTACAACTAAAAT